AAGGGCCTTTGCAGACTGCCAGAAATAGTGTAAATTGAGTCCACTTTAACTGCCCTGACTCAGTGCTAGGGAATCATGGGAACTGTAATTTATTTTGGCACCAGAGCTCTCTGACAAAGAAGGCTCAATGTCTCAGAAAAAAATGCAATTCCCATGATTCCCTAGCACTGAGCCAGGACAGTTAAAGTGGACTCAATTTGCACTATTTCTAGCAGTCTGCAAAGGCCCTAAAATTGATTTACTGTGTGGGAAAAGCTGTGGGTGCTCAGTGACTCTTTATCTCAGTCTTCTCTAATAACATTGAATTGGTTTGATAAACTGCTCTCCATTTTTAATTTCCCACTAATACCCTTGTTGTACATTTTGTGTAACTTAGGGGAAGCACTTTGCTAGGCACCCATTGTCAGGAGCTGATGGAGCTATGTGAGCCTCCCTCACATACTAAAACATTGAACTGTGCTGTCATCCTTCTCCATGAAATACCTTCAGGCCACAGACTGACTTCATCCACCCAGGCTGGCCATTGTATCCTCTAGGACAGGCAATAGTATAACAGGGCTTTTTCTTTCAGTAGAGTCTTGTCGAACTCTGGGCCTTCCTGAACTCTGTCATGTTGCTGAATTCTCAGAGTACTCTGTATGCTTCAGTTCTAAATTTTGTCTTTCTCTTTGATCTTGCCATCTAGTCCTTTGGTCTTGATCTTTTGGTCAGGACTTGCTATTAGGCCTGGACCTATATATAGCTTGCTAGTCAACCCTACTGATGGATTACAATCCTGACATCTAGTACCCAGCTCTTAGAATCATAGAGTTGGAAGAGACCACAAGGGACATCCAGTCCAACCTCATTCTGCCATGCAGGAACTCAAAATCAAAGCATCTCCGACAGATGGCCATCCAGGTTCTGTTTAAAGACCTCCAAAGACCTCTTGGCTAAGTTCAGAATGCTGTCCATTACCAGCCATGACAATTCCTCAGACTCTATTCTTGGAGACCCTACACCAGGGGTAGGCAACCTTTCCCCTTTAAGGGCCGAGGGACTTCAGCTCCCAGAAGCCTCAGCCATGTTGGCCAATAGTCCCATGTTGGCCAATAGCTCCTGGGATTCTGGGAGTTGAAGTCCCTCGGCCCTTAAAGGGGAAAGGTTGCCTACCCCTGCCCTACACAGTTGGCTCTGAAGGCTGAAAGTACAATCCATCCATCCATTACATTTGACTTTGTTTACTGTAAAGCAGGGGTAGGCAACCTTTCCCCTTTAAGGGCTGAGGGACTACAGCCTACCCCTGCTGTAAAGCATCATTATCCTTTACTGTGACCTCTCATACTCAATGGGGCACATCCCTCATGTCATCAACAGGAGCCCAAGACATTTTGCAGCTTGAGATAAAGGCCAAGATGGCCCATTTAAGGCAAAAAAAAGTCATATAGACTAGCAATTCAGTCTTCAGTACTGATGTTGAAAGAATGTCCTCCAGCATACTCAGGCTAATTCATCCCAGCCAACCCCAAAAAGTTGTGTGGAGGAATGGAACAGCTGTCGAATCCAGGAAGGACAGCCATAGCTGCTCCATAGCAGCTGCCCCCAGAGGCAATTGCTGCATTCTCTCTAATGATAGGGCTGATCCCAGCCATCAAAATCCTCTTAGACTTTAATTAAAAAAGCGTATCCAAAATCCTTCTTTGGTTCATTGGGCTGAATCAAGTAGGCCACAAACTATACCTGATTCTTTTGGGTTTCAAGGTCTTTTCAAGGTTCTCAGGACATCAGTCATGGGATGATGATCATGATTGTGACACAGATGTAGCTGTTCCCCATGTGCAACTAAGGGCCTGAAGTGACTGCCAGAAATAATCCATCTTGAGACCACTTTAACTGTCCTAGCTCAGTGCTAGGGAATCATGGAAATTGTAGTTTATTGTGGCACCGGAGCTCTCTGACAGAGAAGGCTCAATGTTTCAGAAAAAAACAACAAACTCCATGATTCCCTAGCACTGAGCCAGGGCAGTTAGTGGTCTCAAGATGGATTATTTCTGGCAGTCTCTTCAGGCTCTAAATTAACCAGATTGAGATTTGCTTGTGGGAAATATTGTTTATGTTCCTCTAGCTACTGGTATAATCAGAACTCTATTCTGTAGTATAAAGGCTGCGTTTCTAGTCAAGACAGCCCAGCTTCTCCGCAGTGTAGAAAATACACCAATAAAAGAGGGAAAATAAATCTATGGCTGTCTAAAATAATGCAAGAGACCCCTGGATGGCCCAGGAGTTCTTCTGGTCCTGTATCCTGCTAAAGGGGAATTCATTGGTTTTAAAAATGAATGGAAAAGGAAACGAGTGCACTTTTATGAGCATACATTTGCTTTAATATAAAAACCAACATGGACACATTTGTTTTGTTTTTTACATTTGTTTTAGGGATGGATGAACCTCACTGTTTTGCTTTTTATAACGTTCGTACCTTTTTCAAGCACATTTTCTTCTATTTCATTTTGTTACAGTGTGCAAATGTTTTATGTATTTTTGTGGGCACACTTCATATACTCAAAACTACGCACACCTCTTTTTTTTTAAAAAAAATAATAATCCCCCTAATGTATGCTGTTTGTGTGCTTTGCAGTAAATCAAACAATTGGTCCAGTTAGCTCAGTATTGTCTGTTCTCATCCTAGGGGGATCTTTTTCCCTTTGAGGACTGAATTCAATTTCAGATACGTTCTTGGCAAAAAACAAACAAACCTGGAACCAAAACCACTGACATAGTTTAACTCTTGAGCTAAAATGCCACCATTACTCCCAGCTGGAATAGAGTCCTTTTAAACAACAATGTAAATAGATGTTGACTTGCCAGCTTTTTTTCTAAATGAATGATCTACACAAATTGAGGTTAATAATTGGATTTAGGCCTTGCTACCGGTAACTGAGGACAGCAATTTCAACCTTTTTGAAAATGGGGAAGAGAATACATACCTAGGAAAACACAAAGAGATGCCTTTCCATAGGGAAGAGAGTGTGGCTATTTAGACAAGCTTAGTGGGCAGGTTGGTATCATAGGACGTTATCACACGTGGGCCAGAAAGTGATAATAAAGTGG